ACAAACAACTCAACGTTCTCCAGTGACTCTTTTTCAAATAAGCAACTTATGACAACCCTTGGGACGGTTTCCTAGTGTAATTGGAGACTGACTCCGTGGGAGCGGTGTGGCATTATGCCGCCTTAAAATTGAAAGTCCAGATGTTCTTTTGCCGGTAACAAGGGAAAATAGTCCCATTAGGTGCAATTAAGGCTGTTTTGTTCAAAACGGAGAGCCACAAAGGTCAATGTGAGCAGGATCATTTCTGCTGATTCTCTTGCTTAAATGAAGCCAACATAATAAATTCTCAATTTTTATGTTGGTGCGCCACAGATTATGGTTTGATAATCTGAGCAAGAAAATTTTTTATTTTATTTTTATAACCAAAGTAGTGATTTTGCCGCTGTACGGCTCGCTGATCATCTCATCCACTTTTGTCTTGGATCGTGTGTGAAAGTCCACCCCAAAAAATCTCCACTGGGATCAATGTGGTTCCGTCCAGCTGCTTCTCGTCCGAGCGAGTCGGTGGCAAGCTTTCAACACATTTTTCCACACTTTCACCTCACCATGGCTTGTATTCCGACACTGTTATGGTTACCAATCGTTGAGTGTTGTGTTTGACACAAGTGTGCTTCCGCTTCCAGGTGGAGATCCACTGCGAGCACCAGAGGTTCCGGATATTCGTGGATGGACACCAGCTCTTTGACTTTTACCACAAAGTAAAATCTTTGGCCTCCATTGACACGGTGCGGATAGACGGAGACCTACAGATCACCAAGCTGGGCTAATCACGCACACATACACACGCACACACACACGCACACACACGCGCGAAGCTCGGCAGGGTGAGTGTGTGTGCATGAAGGACTTGAGCACGTACACAAACACACGCACACATCTGCACCGCCATTCACCTGCAAGAAGGCGCCTCTGCTTCTTATTCTTCTTTCAATGTGCTGTTCCCCATTCAGCACGCTCTCGTTTTATTTATTTCTCAGGTGTAAGTTTTGTCAAGTCAGTGAACATCTTTACTTGCTATTTTCATTCTTCTCTAAATTTGGATGCAAATGTTAATTGAAGGAAAAAGATGAGAATTGGAATTTTTTTTTTAAGTGTAATACTCGCAGCATCCCTTCATGCCATTCCCATAAAAAAAAAACTGTTGTAATTATGCTTTCAATTATAAACGTGACAAAAAAATTTCAACATTAAATTATAAATTTTGAAAATGTTTTTTTCCATACTTTTGGGAATGCCGATTTTTTTTTTATCAATCACTTTGAAACTTTTTTCCATTTTTTTCATCAACATTAAAATGCTGCTATTTAATTTAATTTAACTAAATAAACATTGCTTACATTTTGTCCAATTAAAAAAGAAAAAAACAAAAAATAAAGCCTTATTTAAATTGTGTTTAATTATAAAAAGAAGAAACATTAGATTTTTTAAAAATGAAAATAAAAACATCATAATTTTAAAGCTCACACCCTCTCCACTTGTCAACTTTGTATATAATTTATGACAAATAATTTAAATATTAAATTTAAAAATCACAAAATAACCCTGAGAGCATATCGACTTGCCATTTCCACAAATCGAAAGCTCACAGTTTCTCCTCTTGCCAACTCCATATTTTTTCATTTTATTCTTTCTTACGCAATTTTAAATTAATTTCAACCAATTAAAAATGGCCGTATTTTTTTACTTGACATGTCCATATGATTTTAATTTTCATTTAAAACAACATTTTAGCCTTTCTCCTTGCATTTCCATTCTTTTACAATCACTTGCATACAGAGACACTTGCTAGTCCAGTTCAAGGGCATCAACATGTTTTGCAGCGAGAGTGCATCCCAGTTTAGATTTTACTACACAAAAATAAAACTCGCATTGCAAAGATGAGTCGAGTATTCCAGCCACGTCTTCTTTTCCTGGCGTTCTTCTGGGGTAACCTCCCACCAGCAAACCACCCCCCCCCCTGGTTGTCAGGGCAACGCATGACCTAAATAGTCTAAATTGATGAAGATTCCTCGTGGGAGGAGGAAGACAAACAGGAAGTACAATTCTGACCGGTGGGCATTTTTGTGTTAAAATTAGCATTTTTACCCCATCTTCGGTCACACTTTTTTATTTCCAATCTAAACTGGCAACCAGGCCTCACATGCATAAAATATGCAACTCATAACCTGGAGTGTTATACACCATTTTAGGTACAAATGAGTGTTAAAGCCAACAACAGCTCCTACATCACTCACCGGGCCAGACCCTGCATTTTAAAGCCACACGCCATCAGAGTCACAGATACTACAGCGTGAGGATGGCGACTCCAAGTAAACAAAAATAATACCGGCACCTCACAATTATATTTTGATTTGGTATTATGCATAAAGCTTTAGAATGAATATGTATCAAAATAATGCTAATTTGTCGTTCTGCTTGCACCCCTAAAAGTTGAGGAGCGGGGCCACTGTACTTATAAAATAGTTTGCAGCTCATGCACTCCTATCTTTGGCCAGTGTTTTTTTTTTTCTCTTCCCAATTTTTTATTATGTAGATAAGGATTTTTTTTTTTCAATTTTGGAACAACAAGGCTGTAATATGACAAATGCACTGTCCTTACATGATTTTCACTGGACGTTTTACGTTCAGTTTGAGTAAAAGAAAGACTCAAAAGAAGTGAAGCAAGCGCCAAAGTAACTTCATTCCAATAAAGCATTAAAAAAAATATACTACAAGTCAGTGAATATGCATAACATGGAAGCATTTACAAAGGCAGACCTACAAGAATGTAAGAAAATCTCAAACCCCAAATTAGACTGTTCTTCTTCCCCCTCTCCAACTTCCTGCGCTCACACCGCTCGGTCCTAGCTTTTTCTTTTTTTAGGCAAACAGGAAACTCGCCTCCAGCCTGTTGCATCATTACTGCAGCAGCAGAACAAAACGTGCTCTGTGTGTGTCGACTGTGCTTGGCGTTCTACAGTATTGCAGGCTTACAGTACACTACTGTAATGACACGTTTTGCTTTCAACCATTTTATCAAGCACATTCACTCGTGTAGGGGGAAAAAAAAGCCTGTATAAAAAAAAATTGTAATGTGTTTGTTGGTGACTTGGAGAAAAGTGGACACAGGGAGTTTTACTTGTGGTGTTTTTTGGTACTGATACACTTTAAACGAAACGAAGACTGTTTTTTAAAATGTAAATTAGGACCTGATTAAAGCGTTTAATTGATGCTGAATGATAAATTGAGTGTTCCTATCCCATCGAGGAGAAGTGTGTTTACACAATTGTCTTAATATTAACCGTCTTAACTGCAATGTGTTCTGGTTTTCCACTTCTGCAACTTTTTAAATGTCGTCTTGACACATTTCTGTACTCAGAACGTGAGGCTAAAGATGCAATATGGTACGTTTTTTCTTGTGTATTTGTTCACTAAAGCATTAATTTCAACCAATTCAGGTGTCCATTTACATGTACAGTGGTGCTTTGAGATACAAGTTAACTTGAAATGAACGGAAATGACACCAATCTAGCTCCCCCCACGCCTCCCAAAAGTATTTTATTATGATGTATAATAACATACGGTAATGACATAAATATAATGTAATTTTTTTTTTCAGAATTTTTGCTTCAACTCAATGGACATTGTTATAAATACTCAATGTGTAATTCCCTTTGTTGTATGTTTAGTTTGACGATAAACTTAGGGTGGCAGTAAATATTTTTTTCCCCACTATCTGCTGTCTCGACTTTAATTCTCGCAAGTCAAAGGGGAAAAAAAATCAGCCAAACGATGGTTCATATCTAAAAAAAAAGTCCTCATAAATTGAGTCACTTTTATGTCAAGGCACCACGACAGTATATTCCTTTAATAAAGATATGAATGTTCTCCTCCTGATTGTAATTTGATCATAAATAAACAGCAGGTGTGTTTTTATGTTTCACACCTCTTTGTCTGTAACTAGACGTCATGTTTTGCCACTGATTTATTTGTCTTCTGTGTGTACTATTGGACTTTAGGTGTACATATTTATAAAATAACCATTTGTTTAGAAATAACCGAGTTCAGGAACAAACAGTAACCATAGTCTTTGGTGTACATAACTAATTGGAATGGTCAGATGTGTCAGCGTTTTATGAATACCTCGAAAGAGTCACAAACTTCATGATGTTCCCTTTGAGTGTTGTGTTATTTTTATATATTGCAGCATTACCAGCGTGTGTGGATGTGTGTGCGATGGACTCAACTCAGTGGTTAAATAGCAATGAAAATGTTCTGGTATATGTTAAGAAAAAATTTTCTCTTTTTTTTCTTTTTTTTTGTGGGTTGTGTTTTCTTTAAACCACAAAATCAACTGAAGTATCATTTTTCACTGCAGTGTTTTCTGCGGTGAGGTATCCCCCCGAAAATAACCTAAAACTGCTCCGCTGCTGTTTTTAGACCAGCCCGGGCTTCTGCATATGTTCTTTCGTCTCCTGACTGCTGCTTTTGTTTAAAAAAAAAAAAAAATTAGAAAGAAATGCTCCTTTGAAAACCAATAAACTTCTCTCTTCTAGGTAAGACTGTTGTATAGTACACTGTTTGTGTATTGCATTTATGAACTTTATTTTTTTTTGTTTTTTTTTCAATAAAACAGTGTGATTTACAACTACTCCAAATTGTACATTGATATCAATAATTCAACACCCACACATTTAGATGATATAATTTATTCATAATAAAATCGTTTCCATTAAAACTGTCAAAACGGATTTGATCCGTGTCTGTTTTTTAGCTCATTTTTGAACTGTGTTGCTCTCCGTCCTTCCTGGACGTGTGCCGTATTTTTTTAGTCATACGCCACGTGTGCTAGTCATTATCAGGCTCACCGAACCTGACGGTTTCTCAAACAAGTAGCTGATTTATTAAAACAGATTTATTGATGTCAGTGTCTTGCTGCTATTCTAGTGGGTGTTTTTGTTTCTTTTCTTACATATTTGCGATAGTGCCTTGTTCGTTGCAATCTGTCACTTCCTGTTGTTCCGGAAGTGGTGTGCTCATACGTAATTGTTCCAGGACGTGCGTTGTGTTTTGGGAGCGCGCTCTATCTTACATAATTGCTGACAGTTAAACAGAAATTCGAACTCTGTTTCGGGGACTGGAAGTAGTTTAAAGTAAAGCAACAAAATGTCTGGCGGGACCCAGTTGGAAAATGCCAACCCGGTCATATTCGAGCGGTCCGGCGAGAGGCTGCAGACAGCAGCCGATGAGGACGAAGACGTTCACGACCCCATAGATGACAGAGAAATTTTTGATATCCTTTTGGGCTTACTGTCACACGCAAGTTAAAACGAGTGGCTGTTTGGGGTAAAACGCTGACAATAACAAGAGTGCTTGCGTAAATTTACGCGGTGGCTTTCCGTTGCACCCGGAAGTGTGTCGCAGTATTTAAGATCTGATAAGAAAACCTTTATTTGTCTCACAATGGAGAAATTCCCCAAAATGCACGCATTTTTCAAGGTTATGCATACATACAAGCCGTGCTCAACTGATTTTGCACTTTTATAGAAGTTAAAACCAGTGTCTTTAACTGATGCAACATCTGATCAGATCCATCAATGATCCCGAGCATCCTCTCTCTCTAGAGGAGCTGAACGTGGTGGAGCAAGTCAGAGTCAAAGTAGGTTTCCAAATTGTCTAGTTTATTTTAAACGTGTTTGTGTTTGTTATTTCATTATGGATAGAACAAAATAATACCTGGAGTTGGTGTTGTCTTGAATGTCGTCCAAATGATTGATTGCTAACATACACTTTTCCTGGAATTTTGCGACCCTACTAACGACATTTTTTTAAAAAAAACTATGAGGAAGAGTTATGTATTAAATTATTTAATAATAAATAACTTGCTTTTTGGATGTTCAATATTTATGAATGAATTAACTATGCTTTAAAGAGATAAAGCTTGCTTCTTGGATGAGTCTAATTCTGCTGAAGAACCACTGAATTGATGACAATGACCATCCTCTCCATTTGTATCGAGTAGTTCCTCATTACTGTTTTTTTATCTCTGGATTCATTCCACATATTCCATTATTATTTTTATTTATTTATTTATTGCATTCAGGTGAACGACGCAGAGAGTAACGTGGGCGTGGAGTTCACACCCACCATCCCCCACTGCAGCATGGCCACGCTCATCGGCCTGTCAATCAAAGTCAAGCTGCTACGCTCTCTACCTGACAGATTCAAGGTCTTTTTTTTTTTCCTTATATCACAAAAACGTGTCATTTGAACACGGGTGTGTGTGTGTGTGTTTTTTCTCACTGTATTTATGCATGTTTGCATCCACTTCCAGATCGATGTGCATATCACGCCTGGGACGCATGCCTCAGAGGACGCAGGTAGGACACGTTTACGTCTGTCCGGCTCACATTACAAGTGAAAGGTTTTGAGTTTCCGCTGTGTTTTTATGGCCACAGTGAACAAGCAGCTGGCTGACAAAGAGCGAGTGGCGGCCGCGCTGGAGAACTCGTCGCTGTTGGAGGTGGTCAACCAGTGTTTGTCCACCAGGAGCGTCTGAGGATCAAGAAGTGTTACCTACTGCCACCGACACCACTGGAGCCTTACCACGGGTTGTGAAATATGCAGCAGAGGCAAGGCAAATGTCTTCAAAGTGAGAGCGTGCGGGTAACTGCATGAATTACGTACTCACCAGCACGTCATTGGGTACACCTGAACAGTCTAATAATTGATAATACAAAAGAGACACCCCGCCCCCCAAAAAATGCTCAAAAATAAAAATAGTTATTTTATTATGTCTAAATATAAATTCTGCTATTTTTTAAATGTTAACAACATATTTCGACCCCAAGAAATGGATAAGAATGCCGGAACGAAAGGTGCAAGTGTATCTAATTATGTGCATCAAAGTTTGTTTGTTTTTTCCTGATAGACTGAAGACAGAAACTGTGTTAACTGTATTTAATATCCACTTGATGTTCGTGTTATTAAAATATTCACCATGTCATCTAAACGTTGTCCTTTCTTCAGTTGCAGTTGCACATTCTTGACGAGATGTCTAAATGCTTGGTAAAGTTGTTTTAACCACCTTTTTGAAATCCTAATAATTGATTCATTTGAATTTCAAATGTTTTTTTTAAACTCTCATCCAAGGGTTTAAAGTATGGAACATTATTGCATCCATATTCATTTTTTTCTTTTAAAAACAGAATCCAAATGTTTGATTCACAATTCTCTTTACTAATGCTTTACTTCATGATTTTTTGAAGGGAAATATAAAACTAATTCTAATCAAATAAATTAATGACTACATTTGCCTAAATATCTGCTTTGGTGCATTTTGAAAAATACCCAATTGTTATTATAAATGAATACCAAATTGTTTCACAGAGTTGCACTTTGAGGTCGAAAAATATCTAAATTTAAGTCATTTGAATCACAGTACAGTATTTAAAATATACGAGTCGTGTTCCTATGCGACCACCAAGTGGCGCTCTTGTAACATTTCTGTAGCCCGTCTTTTCTTTCCATCAGATTAAAAGAAGATAAATTATTCTGATGCAGAGTTCATCTGGAATGCATGTGTCATGTTGTTGTTGCCACCAAGTTTGTAAAATGGCAGCCGGTCATGGTGATGTAACTCCCGCTCTGTTTCTTTATAACAAATAAAATGTTTTAAAAGGCAGCAGGGGGATTATGTAACCTCACCGTGAACGTTCCACTGTTATTTCAATCCACGCGACTCCATGTGAGGTGTGTGTATAAACTATTTCCAACACATTTGAAAGACATTCAAACCTTTCTCGATTTCTTTGCTAACTTTTATTTTTTTTTAAAGTACAAACTAAAAAAAAGTAACCCACAGAAGCATAGTAGGCCTACGTGTCCATCAAAAATATTATTCCTAAAAAGTATCAATATTATTAGCCACTGACAATATGAAAATGTTTCAACATCTGAAATCATTCTTCTCTGTAAACCACATTTTGTTCCTTTGTACATTTCTGTCGTTATCAAAGACATCACAGACACATGCACAACAAAACATAAAAACAAACAACTACACTATTTACATGGAGCGCTGCAAAACATGTTTAGAAGTGCCTGGCCTCACCTAATACAATAACTTGGCCCATTTTGACCTCTACAGCATCCAGAAAGAGTTTAAGCCGCAAGCTAGCTGGTGGCTCGCACCTGTGGTCAAAGGGTAGGTGAGATTTATTCCAGCCACGGGGGCTTTAAGCGGACATATTTTTACCATTACATATGTTGTATACACACTATAGAAGGCAGTGCAAATGTATCTGAGTGACACCTGAAAGTGGAGCCGGGCATGTTTTCAGTCCATGTAGTGAACACGTCAACAGGGTCTAAAAGCTAACAGAACATTTTGATTTGTCACCATTTTGAAGCTAATTTCATAAAAATCGGTGATTTTTTTTTTTTTTGTATTCGTTCAAACTTTGGCACGATTTGTATCAACGCTGTTCTTTGCGAACATTTTTATTTTCACTTTACAGGGACTTTGAATTAGCCTACCATGATAAAACCGTCCACTAGATAGCACCACTTTCGCCTTTCAAAACATGCAGCGGAAGCGCTGAGTTTTTGTAGTTTTACCAGCGGTCCAAAACGAAGTGTGTGTGTGTGTGTGTGTGTGTGTGTGTGTGTCGTTACTGATGTTGGATAGTGGTTTACCGTACAAAGAATTAAAAAAAATACTAAACACAAAATCTTGACTGAAAAACATGAGAAGCGGACCTGTCAGTTATTACACCGTTTTGCTTCATCGGGGTGTGTGTCCTAAATAGATAAACAGGCTCTTATCATAGATTAAATCCCTGACACGCGCGCGCGCGCGCCCACACGCGGGGAGAGGACCGACTTCTTCTGCAGTAGAAGGAGGAAGAGAAGGAGGAAGAGGAGCAGCTGTCCCCGCCCTCTGCAGACTTGACCATTGACTGCACGCATTCAACACACGCACATGCCCCCTTCAGACATAAATCCCACTTTGACGTTGCGTGACGCCTCCCTGGCTCGTGCGTCGGTGAGTAACGCAAAGTCACGTTAGCGAGGAAGTAGCGCGCACATGATGAAGACTTGTCATCCTCCTCCTCTTCTTCCTCCTCCTTCAAGCAGCAGCTGGCAGTGATTCGGACTGCGGGGCTTGTTTACAGCAAAGAAGGAGAAGAAGGAGACGACTTGCTTCGAAAGCTCAGCGAGGCGTGTATCTTGGCTGCAGGCCCAGGTTGGTTGATGACCCTTTTCCTTTTTTTTAAATTTTTTATTTTTTTATTAACCCACTTCGTCTTATAAAATGCCCGAAAATGTGTGTGTGTGTGTGTGTGTGTGTGTGTGTGTGTGTGTGTGTGTGTGTGTGTTTTTAAATGAGCCTGCGTGTAACTGTTTTGTTTGGACGATCGCTGCATTGCGTTCACATTTGGTTTTGATTATCAGGCTCAAAGAGTTCTTTATATCTGCTTGCTGCTTGCACATCACTACGTGGAATGTGTGTGAGCGTGCATCCTGTTTGACAGAAAACGCTCTTCCAGCTGAGCGCCTTGTGACAACTTTCGGGAAGAAAATCAAAAGCATAGCACGGTATATCAACTAATGAAGTGCGGGAGAGTGCCGAACAACTTTTCGATCACCCATTACACGTGCCTAATGAAATGTCCTCTGTGCACAGTAGAAACGTTGCTTGTCCTTTTTTTTTTTTTTTTGAAGGATCAAAGTGGCTTGGTGTTAGTTAAAAGTGGCATTTTGAATCACTTTTCTGAGTTATTGACGAAGGGAAAAAACGAGAGTGAAACGCATTTGTTTTGGCTCTCAAAATCAAACATGAGCCAAAGTTAACAGACAGGAGAGGGTTCTTGAGTGATTCGTGAAATTGGATTGGGGTTGTTGCAATTTTCGATTTTTAAAGTGTAAAAGAACGATAGCAAGTCTTGTGAACGCAAAAAAAAAAAAAGTCTTCGGTATTATTATGGTGTTGCCCAAATAAATGTAATCAAAACATGCAAATGAGTAAAAAAAAAAAAAAAACCTACAGCATTCCAATAAAGATTTGTAATGTACACTTTCTGCACACTAGAAATTCAGAATTTGTCATTTTCAGCTAATTTTGTGAGGTCTTGCAGGCGGTTAGTTTCATTGTGATTGGCATGAGAAATCGGCATCAAAACTTTTTGGAGAGGTTGTATCCCGACCCAAAATTATGTAAAATCTCACGCGCATGTGGATTCATTTGGTTCATTGCTGTTTGCAATTTCTAATGTACAAAAAAATAATTTACGGCATTTTGAAGTGACCCAAAAATTTGTTTATCACCAGTTATCACGTGGTCTAAAAGAAATGTAAACAAATATGACAAACGAGTAAACAAAAGCAAAAACAAGAGAGCACTCTGCACACATTAGAAATTGTCATCAAATTTTTTTGAGTCATCTCAAAGTCGTACCCTGCCCAGAAAAGTTGCTGTTAATTTACGATTGCAAATTTGGACCACCAAAAAAATAAATAAAATCACTTATTTGTATTACAGTATCATGAGCTTACTCAAAGAAATATAAACAGAAAGCACAAATGAGTAAAAAAAAACAAAAACAATTCAATAAAATCAGAAACCTTGAGTCAACCTAAAAAAACTCAACCAAAAAAAAAAAAGCATCCTTTTCACTTAAGTTTTTCATCATCTCTGAGTTGCATCTGAAAAAGTCATCCGACGACTGATCTCTCCTTTGAAACATAACTGGGTTTATTGATGACTTGATTGATTTTTCAGTCATCATCTGCTAGTAGGCTACCCGGTGTGGAAAAAGTGATTACCGGTGCATCCTGACACTGCGTGAAATCAAATGTGAAATACTAACGGTTTTGCATTGTTTGGACAATGCGCTCATGGCTGCTATCTTGCTATTTGCACGCTTTGTGACCGAGCTGTTGGGGAATCCTCTCTGCTTGTTACGGGAGCAATTGTCTTGGATTGTTTTCAGACGGCTGAAGCATTTTCCCGTCATTTTTCTTTCCACCGGCTGATTCGGAAAGACTGCGAAGCGATGAAGGGAACAAATGAGTGCAGGAACGCATTTGGTTTGGCCTCAAAGTCCAAACGCGAGCCAAAATGAATACACGGGAGAGGGTGAGACGAGACCATCTCTTGCACTCGAATGCGTCTTGCTCACATTAACAAAACGTGATGCCGATATAGACGTCGATGGAGTCCGTGATCGTGTACTTTACGACACAATGTTCCAGTAGTGAACTTCAAATCAGTCATACCTGGGTCAAATTTTTGACTTTGACCCAGGTATGACTAATAATTTTCTTCCACACTCGTATCAACTATGAACTAGGAAGTTACCAGGGTGTGTTGGAGTGCTGTCTAGTGTCTGTCCGTCCATCTGTCGAAATCGTCACCCAAAATTCCGACCATGTATTAATTTCACAAAATTTTTTTTTTTGAGTCTTAAACATTTTCATTTTCTGAACTGTCACAAAGAAAATGATAAAGAAAAACTACCATTTGAAAACACCCGATGTAATGAGAACAAGGCGTGAACCAAAACATTCAATCAAACTAAAAATAAAGATAATCACTCTTTGAGGATACGTCATTGAGATCAATAAAATGGAGAATGAACAAGTTGACAAAGTTGTTATTGTTATTATTATTATTTATACTCTAAGATTCCCTTTGAGGATTCCTAATGGAGACATGAGAGAACGGTCTGTCACCTAGTTTTGTTGCTCATTTGATGGCATCAACGGAAGTGTCCAACCCTCCCCGAATCATGATGGCACCATCCATGCGTTCGTCACCGCCTCACGGACCAGGAACTAACAAACCACTTGCGTGACCTCAAATGACAAATTTAATGGTGGCTTCTGGCATTTAGTAACGTACTGTGTATGTTTGTAACATGCCAGCAGCATCAGTAAGGGAAAAGTGTGACGATGCCTTCTGTGTAAAAAAAACAAAAAAAAAACAAAAAACAAATGTGAAAGAAGCAGTCAAG